CCTGGCCACAGGGTGTTACTATAGGGATGTGCCCGTGGAGCATCCAGGACCTCCTGTTTGGGTGGACCAAGCCCCTCCTTGACAGCTTTACTTTCCGTAACTTGAAAAGGGCCGAGGGCCACCCTCCCCGTGTTGTGTTGACTGGAGATTGGAGCTTGAGTTGCGGTTAGGGTGATGGATAAAGTGGCAATGGGCCAGCAGGGATTTCAACAACCAGCTTACCAGGGGGTTGGGAATGCCACCAGCCCTGCAGCTATGAGCACATGTCTCCACCTACCAAGCCACCTTCACCTGTAAAATGGGTAAGTCAGTGACCCCTGAGAGGAGCCCAGTCCCTGGCCTACTGACTGTAGCAACCTATACACTGAGCACAGTCAGGAATCCAGTTCTGCCAGTTCTACCCCAGTCATGGTGTGACCTCAGACAACTCTGCCCATTCTGGGCCTCAGTTTTTTCCACAGGCACCTTGACCTGGAACTGCCACAGTCCTGGGTTAGGCGCCCTCCCTGCCTCAGCAGTGACTTTGCTGGTTATTGATCCACCTGCCCTACCACTATAGTTGCTACTCTAAGAAGATAAGCCATGGGCCCTCCAGTGGCCTGGACCAACTACAGGACTGGGAGCCACACCCCCAGAAGATGCAGAACCCCCTCAAGAGTGGGCTGCCCCCCACAGGAGCTGCTGCCACCATCCCCCAGTACCTCGAACCAAGGAAGGGGCCTGGGAGCACCAGTGTGCTTGCTCTCCATGTGCAGGTCTGTGGGCGGATGGAAGGTGGGTGGTGAATGTGAGAAGTGAAGAATGAAGAAGACAGATGGACCATGGGGAGGTGGAAGGAGGGTGCCCTGACCCTCAGCAGCATGTAGATGCCACTGGCCCCCACCTGGAGTTATTTCTGGCCTGGGTGTGCTGTGCTGTGCTTGGCCTGTTCTGCTTTGTAACTATGGTCTATGAAGTGACTCCCCACGGGAATGTTCTTAGTGTCCAAGGGGGTCCTCAGCTGACCTCTGTCCTGGCTGTGCTACAGCTTACTGGCCCCTCCACAGCTTACTGACCCCAATCTCCTGGGGGTTGGGTGTGGGCAACAACTCAGACTCCCTGGAGATGCCCCCTGCCCCCAGTCCCTGATAGCATAGAGAAAGTCCTTGGCCTCAGTCCCTGCTCATACCCTTCCATGCCCATGAAGTCTGGGGCCCATTCCTGCCAAGGCCACACAGCAGCCTCCCTTCAGACTTGGGCTGGACGTGCCTCATGCCCCTTCCAAGTAGCACTATGGCTGCTTTGCTCACCCACCTTTCTCCAGGTAGCAACAGACCAGGACTAAACAAATCCTCTGCCTTAGTTTCCTAATTTGTAAAACAAGTTCATGATATTGGAAAGGAAATGGATTCTCAACAGCTCTGACATATTTTCCATACCAGCTTGTAATTTCCCCCTGGGGTGGCTGTCTCTGCCACCCTCTTGAAGCTGGAAGGCATTGAGGCCCTGGGGCGCTGAACTGGTGCTTGGAGCCTCCAAGGCATTATCTCTACAACCTCGCCAGGTTTCTCCTAATGGACCTCTAAGAACAAGCACCCCAACCTCACACACACCAGCCCACACTGGGGGGACCTGGAAGCCACAGGGACCAGAGAACATTCCAAAGATGCCCCTTGCACTGCAGCTCAGGCAGTTCCCGCTCCGGAGCTTCTGACCTCAGCAGCTGCCTATACACTGCCCGCTAGCTCCGGTGGCTGCTGGGTGAGCCCCAGAAGCCTCTGACCCTTCCTGGCTCCCTTCCCTTCTCCTGCCCGTTCCTCCTCGCTCCACCCTCCCACCCTTAGTGTCCCTGAAAGGGAAGCTGGGTCCTTTGCTGCACAGATTGAACAGTGCAGGTGCCCTGTGGAGCTACCCCCAGAGATGATGCCTCCCAGCCCACTGCTAGGCCTTTGGCTCTGAGGCCTCATCAGCTCTCATTCCTGCCCTGTCAGTCTGTCTGGTGGGAGAGACCTGGACTGAATTCCAGTGACTGTCCCCCAGTCCCCAGACATGGGGGTGGGGGGGGAGTGACCTTCCCCCAATGGCAGCTGGAATCAGCATCAGAACTGGTGGGAGAGCGATGCCCAGGCAGCCTGGCATGGAACTGCTGTGGCTGCAGGATTCTTAGTGGATATACCTCACAGAGGTTCCCCTATGTGCAAGCTAGGCTGGCCGAGGAAGGATTGTTTTCTTGCCACATGTGCTTGGAGGCAAGCTCACACTGCTCACACTGATTGCCACTCAGAACTGGGTCCAGTGAGGCTGGGGAGGTTGGACCTGGGAGGGTCGTGAGAGTAACCCATTCCAGTTCATTGGGTGGGTCAGGGCACGTCCACCACATAGTGGGGTCTTCATGTCTCTAGTGCCCATGCTGTGTATAGGCACACCCATGACACAAAGTTGAGTTTGATTATCTCATAGAAAAAGATCCCCTCTCTGCTTGCTCAGTAAAAGGGTTGCCAAGGAGACCAGCAGCCAGGCCCCAAGGGGGGCCAGGCTGCGGCCAATTACTGTGGTTGTAGCAGGAAAAGAGCCCACCACCAGCCACTGCATTGACAGCGGGGACAACGCACAGGGACCAACCCTCAGAAGTTGGTTTCTGAAAAAAAGTTTGACTTGGTGGCAAGAGAGCTGTGTCTTTGCACATGGAGCATGCTTCCTGGCAGGGCTATGACATGTAGCTGCCCTGCGACTTGCCCCATGGAGGGCCTCAGTCCTGGAGCCTTGCTTGGGGCATTCTTAGAGTGGGCATAGCCTTTGGCATAGGTTCCTAGAGACTGAAGCTCATGGCCTCCTGTGGGCCCGCGTTGGGGGAGGCTGGTGGAGCGAGAGGGTTCTGGTAAGGTCAGATAAACCCATCACCAACCAGGCTTGTGGGCCACAGCTTTAGGGCTGTGAAAGCGCTTTAGGCTGTGGTGGTGATGTGTCTCAATCAGTGCTGCAATGAGCTTGCTCACAATTGGTGGCCTGTGACAGCACTGTGATGTGACTTGATCCATGACATAGTGTGATTCGTGACATGACCCACCTGTGGTGGTGAGGTCCAGAGCCTGACCTGGTATGTACGTGGGGGCCCTGATCTACCCTAGTCCCAGGTCCTCCTCTGCTGCTGGGGTCTCTGGGACAAAAAGTGCTGTTTTCATAGCAGTTACATCCTGTGACCACAGGTGAGATACTGGTAGGAAATGGTATAATCAGGCCCAACTTTCTCCCAAAGAGGCCCCAGAAGGAGAGAGCAGGAGAGATGTCAGCAGTTTAAATAGAGCAGGCCAAGGTGTGCCTCATAGCCTCCCATGCACGGCCAGCCCAGGGAGGGGCGCTCAGGGCTTAGGGGTACCCAGGCCCAGCCTCCCTCTTTATTGGCCCAGGCAGAGAGGTGATAGAGGCCCCAGCATGGATGGAAACCCCAAGTTTATGGTTCTGGGTGGGGAAAGGTGGCCCATGGTCTTCTCCTTCTCCCCGCTTCTTGCTCCCAGCCCGAGCACTTAACCTGCCTCGTGTCTGCAGAATCTCATTGTCAGCTAGCTGCCAAGGAAAGTGTTAGCTGTCATTGCAGGAGTTAGCTGTCAACGAAGGTGCTAGCTGATAACTCAAGTGTTAGTTGATAAGCCATAACTCTCCCAGGGGGATTCACATTTTAGCAGACTTGCTCCTGAAAGTGGAAAGAACCTTTGGCATTTGATGGCATCCTAATAGTAGAATGATAAGTAGTGAGATTAGTATTGGGGTGTGTGGACTTGCTGATGAAACCAGGGCTGGAGACAGTGCTCCAGGAGGGGTCTCTTGACTTGTTACTGCTCTTTAGCCAGGTCCAGGTGTGTCTGGCCTGAGAGATGGGGAAGGACATGTGTGGGGTTGGGGCAGACCCACCCGAGCGATGACCTAATGGCAACTTCCCACCAGGCACCTGTCCCAGTGAAGAGTATAGCTGGGGGTATATATACAGCAGAGGACTGAGGGCCCTGAACTCTGGAGGGTCTGATTGGCTGGGGAGAAGTGAATTGACCTGGGGAGATGAAGCAGGGGAAGAGGCCTCAGGAGGTGTTCAGTACCACATCAGGAAGCACTTGAGGCAACTGCAAAGAGGCCATGTGGAGGAGAGGGCACCTGCCTGGAGGGGCAAACTGCCCAAGGCTGACTTGCCCTTCCAGTACCTGGCTGCCCTACTGGTCCCTGCTCTCGGGCATCCAGATTCCTGATCCTGTGATGGTTGGCAACTCTGGATCTGGGGGCCCCAGTATGTTTCCTAATCATGCCTGAAAAAAGGTCTCCTCTTGTCTCCTCCAGACTCATGCATTTTCCTCTTTAAAGCACAACTCCCCATGGATGTCTAGGCAGTCCTGGGGCCTCAGCAGAGGACCTGGGAGGACACAGGGTCTGACCAACTTCCCCTCCAGCAGCCTGGGAGGGCATTCAGAATGAGCATTGCCAAAAGCCCAGCAGGCTCCTCTGCATCAGTGTAACCAGCCTGGTCCTTGAGGATTTGAGTATTTGTCACAGGCTGGTCGACCAACCTGGCCTATAGGCTGAAGGTCAGGGGAAAATCCAGGGACAGTATTGAATAGGGACAGTGTGCAGGCCCAGGGGACTCTGTGTACATTGGAGTCCTGGGAGAGTGTCTACATGGGTGAGTATCCATTCCAGAAGGCCTTAAAAGCAGGCTTGGGCAGTGAGCCAGCTAACCAAGTGCTGGGGGCAGCATGGACATGTCAGCGCATGTGTTTGTATGTTCTTGCATCTGCCCACAAGGGTTCCTGGTGTGGAGCATCTCCTATGGACTCCCCTGGTGGCAGGTTTGGCTTCAACTTCTGTCACATGGCAAGTGGAGCTGGGATCATAGTGCCTGTACTCCCAGGGTGGCAGCACATCCTGGGCCTGCCCCAGGTCACCCCAGGCCTAATCCCAGGGGCCACCTGACCCCAGCAAAAATCCCAGCCTCAAAGGTCCCGAGCCTATTAACCTCTCCTCTACTCTGCTTACAGGGAGCCAGCTGCTGGCCTGGGTGCTGTGGCTACAGGCATGGAGAGTGGCAGCACCATGCCCGGGAGCCTGTGTATGCTACAATGAGCCCAAGGTGACAACAAGCTGCCCGCAGCAGGGCCTTCAGACCGTGCCCGTTGACATCCCAGCCGCCAGCCAGCGTGTCTTCCTGCATGGCAACCACATTGCACATGTGCCGGCTGCGGGCTTCCGTGCCTGCCGCAACCTCACCATCCTGTGGCTGCACTCAAATGCGCTGGCCCGAATTGATGCTGCTGCCTTCACTGGTTTGGCCCTTCTTGAGCAGCTGGACCTCAGTGACAACGCACAGCTACATGCTGTGGACCCCGCAACATTCCGTGGCCTGGGCCGCCTACACACACTGCATCTGGACCGCTGTGGCCTACAGGAACTGGGCCCCGGGCTGTTCCATGGCCTCACTGCCCTGCAGTACCTGTACCTGCAGGACAATGGGCTGCAGGCTCTGCCTGACGATGCCTTTCGAGACCTGGGCAACCTCACTCACCTCTTCCTGCATGGCAACCGCATCCTCAGTGTGCCTGAGCGCGCCTTCCGTGGCTTGCACAGCCTTGACCGCTTGCTGCTGCACCAGAACCGCGTGGCCCACGTGCACCCACACGCCTTTCGTGACCTTGGCCGCCTCATGACGCTCTACTTATTTGCCAACAACCTCTCAGCACTGCCCTCAGAGGCCCTGGCACCCCTGCGCACTCTGCAGTACCTGCGGCTCAACGACAACCCTTGGGTATGTGACTGCCGGGCACGCCCGCTCTGGGCCTGGCTGCAACAGTTCCGTGGCTCCTCATCCGAGGTGCCCTGCAGCCTACCCCTGCGCCTGGCTGGGCATGACCTCAAGCGCCTGGCTGCCAGTGACCTGGAGGGCTGTGTAGTTGCCGCAGGGCCCTTCCGTCCCATCCGGACCAGCGGGCCTGCCGATGAGGAGGTGCTGCGGCTGCCCAAGTGTTGCCAACCGGATGCGGCAGACAAGGCCTCAGTGCTGGAAGGCAGGAGCCCAGCTTCAGCAGGCAACTCACTTAAGGGACGTGTGCCATCTGGCGACAACCCACCCAGCAACGGCTCTGGCCCACGGCACATCAATGACTCTCCCTTTGGGACCCTGCCTGGCTCAGCCGAGCCCCCTCTGAGCGCTCTGCTGCCTGAGGGCCCCGAACCACCAGGATCCCCCACCATGGGCCCTCGAAGGAGGCCAGGCTGTTCCCGCAAGAACCGCACCCGCAGCCAATGCCGTCTGGGCCAAGCAGGCAGTGGGGGTGGAGCAGCCAGCGATGCAGAGGGCTCCAGCGCCCTGCCCAGCCTCTCCTGCAGGTTCACTTCCCTGGGCATCTCGCTGGTGCTGTGGATGGTGCTCAGGCCCTGCTGACCAACCACCAAGATCTCAAAGCCTCTGTCAGAGGCCAGGTGTGTGTACATATGATGTCCCCTCCACACCACCAGCCAGCGTCGGGCAACAGTCCCTGATGGTCAGCCAGGCCCTTGCTGACTGACACCTCCTGCCCACCCCTCCCATCTCCACCCCATCATGTTTACAGGGTGTGGTGGTAGCGTTTGTTCCAGAACGCAGCCTCCCGCTCAGATCTCAAAATATAGAGAGATGCATTTTATTTTACTTGTGTAAAAATATTGGACGACATGGAATAAAGAGCTCTTTTCTTAATCTGTTACTTCTCAGGCTAGGGGTGCTGGAGGTGATGAGGTGAGTCCTTGGAGGTGCAGGCCCTGCTCCAGTCATGGGCACATGGAGGCCCCAAAAGAGAATGGAGCTGCTTGCCACATAGGTGGGGCAGCCTGAGCTACGGGCAGCTCAGACCAACTTGTCCAGCACCCGTGGTGGCAACCATAAGACTGACATCTGTGAGCTTCCCTGGTAGCTGGGCTGACATTGGTATCCAGAGAGAAATGTGTGTCCAATGAAGACTATGCACCAGGCCCATAGAAGCCAGACAAAGCTGCCTATGTGATGACATCTGCCCTGATGCCACATGGGATTCCTGGAGGTCCCAGCCTTCTACCCTTGCCAGACCCACCCTCAGCTGCCCTCCAGCTCCTACTTGGGTTAAGGTGGTTCCAGGAGGAGCCTGAGAGCCTGGGAGGTTGCCCTGTTGGAGAGCAGGGCTATGAGTCAGGTCGCTCCCTTCCGGGGCCTGCCAGGGTCTGGGTGAGCCCTCATACTAGTGTCTCTGGTCACTGTAGCCATACCAACACAGGCATGTGCACTGATACGTGCTGCATCCCACGCTCAGGCCCATGTGATTCTCCATACTCCTACACACACATACACATACAACACACAGGGCAGGAGCCACGTGTGTGCACACATGCATGCAAATGTGTGTTCACAAACACAGCACATATAGCCCAGATAAAATTATGCACACCCGTGTTTTCTCCAGACCTGGGCTGGTGAGGACTCAGAAGCAAATGGAAAGGAGGCCATGGGGTAGGGGATAGGTTGGCGAGGTGCCACCACCCTACATAGGGCAGGCCCTGGGGAGGGAAGAGGGAGGAAAACACAGGGAGGTGGGGGAGGGAGTTGGGGGAGCATCGCTGGTGGAGCCATATGGCAGCGGGGGTGGCCAGGGCTCCAGAAGCCCAGAGAAAAGGGGCGGGGGAGATGTGCTCAGCAACCAGGCCCCAGGCTCCCTGTTCCAGTTCCTCTGTGCCCACAGTGGGTGCTCAGATGGATCCCTGCCCTGGCACAGGGGAGTCAGGATGCTGTGGGGGAGCCATCCCCACCTCTCTTGTTTGGCCCTTACTCCTCAGCCAGCTCCTCCCATATGCCCCATCTCATCCAGGACATCCTTGGGAACCTAGGCCAATAGCACTGCCTGCCCCCCTCAGTGGGTCTGGCAGTTTGCTCCTCTGCACAGAGTATGCTAGCACTGGGGCCAAGCAGCTCTGCCCCAGACTCAAAGGGGGTAGGTCAGGCAGGCCCTAGATAGGCCCATACTCCAACCCCCCTAGGTCCAGGAGATCCTATTGCCCCTTCTCCCCAGTGGCCTCTTCAGAGGCTACTTTGTGAAGTTTTTTTTTTTTTAAATTTTAAAATGTCTTTTATTTAAAGAGAAAAAAAAAGGAAAAGTAAAAGGTGACCCAGAGACAGACGAGGGAAGATTAAGTAGAATTTTGGAGCTTAATGATAAGAGAGAGTATGAAGTCCTAGAAATTGGGTGAATCTTGGGTTAGATATGTATCTAGATTAGTCTTTTTCCTGGTCCCTTGTTTAGGTTTTCTAAATTCCTGCTATGAGTGAGACCATCCGGTATTTTTCTTTTTCTTTCTGACTTATTTCACTGAGCATGATCCCTTCTAGCACCATCCATGTTGCTGCAAACTGCATGTGTTTATCTTTTTGAATGCTGAGCAATATTCCATTGTGTATATGTACCACATCTTCTTGATCCAGTCATCTATTTTTGGGCATTTGGGTTGTTTCCAAAGCTTAGCTTTTGTAATAGTGCTGCTATAAACATAGGGGTGCAGGTGCTCTTTGGAATTAATGTTTCTGTGTCCTTTGGGTAAATACCTAGGAGTGGAATTGCTGGATCATATGGAAGCTCTATGTTTAGTAGGTCCAGAAATCTCCACACAGCTCTCCATAGTGGTTGGGCCAGTTTGCACTCCCACCAACACTGCAGAAGAGTTCCTTTTTCTCCCTTTGTGGAGTTTTGTGTCAAGGTTTTGGGCTGCCTCTGCCCTATGCCTGAAGGCCCACCATCTGGGTTCCCTGGAATACCACTCCAGTTGCTACACAGCCAGGCCCAAGAGTCTGTCAACCTGTCCTGGGTATTGGTGGGCTGAAGCTTTTTCCAGTTTTCTCCCAAATAGTCCCTAACATCCCAAGAAGACACAGTCTAACTGAGATCTGGGGAGGGGGCAGGTCTCTGAGCTTAGCTGCTGGGTTTTTGTCCTGCATGGAGGTCTCTGGGCTCCGACCACTTTCTTGGTCTCAGGAAACTGCAGATAACCATTTGTAAAGAGCTTGACATTCGCCTCAGTTTGCATGTTTCCCAGGATAGGGTGCTCACTGCCTCTGTCAAGTCAGTTCTTCATTAAAAGGCATTTGTTCGTCCTCAGGGTACTTTAAGTCTGACTGTCACCACCAACTGACCCTTAGGTTGGGACTGGGAGCCCATCACAGCTCAGGTAATAGGGCCTTACACTGGGCTATGACTTGGCTGATACCCCAGATATCCTTACTGGGGTCTTCCTCCATTGCCACATGATCCTCAGAACCAAAAACCCTAGCCTCTCCCATGGGAGGGATTCCATGCCCTTCCCTCCCCTTTCCAAGAGAGAGAAACTGAAGCAGCCATGGCAGGGAGGGGGATAGGGGCTCCACTGGTTGGCAGTGGGTTCAGCAGGCCTTCAGGATTTTGTCCCAAGCAGACTAGGGTGGGATCTGATTTCCTGAGAAGATCCCTCTGGTTTGCTGCTTGGGAGTAAGGGGCACACTGCCCAGCCTGGCCTGAGAAGGGCGGGTTGGGGGAATCAGGAGGATTGTGAGTCCCAATGTTTCCCCCTAAGTAGGACTCCAGTGTCTGCTCTGAGCAGCAGGCAGGGGGCGCCAGGAGAAGCAGCCGCCCTTATGGAGGCCCAGGAGTGTGGGGGTGTTTCGTGGGCTGTGCAGGCTGAGCTCAGGAGAAGGGCACAGGCTGGTGGACAATTTGGGAGTCGTGAGCGTTGGGGTGTTATTTACAGCCCAGGAAGAGATGAGATCACCAACCAGTGCTGGTGAGAACTGGGAGGGGCTGTGGACTCTGCTCCTGCCTACCCCCACCCAACCCTGATTCACCAGCCAGTGGTTCCCTGATAGGGGTTGTGATCTGATGTCCAGTCTCTGTCTTCTGGACCCTGACACCTGCACAGGAAGCTAATTAAAGCATGCCAAGTGGTGCTGATTACATCAACCTTCCTCCAAATGCTGGCTGCTGCTTTATCATGGACATTGTAAGACCTCATCTAAGGATGCCACTGTTCTGGGCCCTGACCAGGTGAGCACCATTGAGTGCAGCTGGAGGAGGGTGAAATCTGGGCTGGGGCTCACAGTTGTTACAACGCCCCTGGGTGAATGGGGCAGGGGAATGACTCTCCCAGGGTGCTAGGCTTGGAGTTACTTCCAAAGGTCACTTCTCAGTCAGTCTTGACCCCTGGGATGGTGGGAGGCATGACTGTTGGCCCTCTGGGAACCAAGGGGACCCTGAGGCCACCCCATACCGCTGTCCACCTCAGGGCTGTGTGGTTGTCCCAGGTCTTCGGACAGGAGTACCCACCCTTGTTTATCTGGCTACCAGAGGCTTTGCACAGTAATTGGAAGACTTATTTTTAATCCTCAAATTAGTTCTGAAATAATAGAAGCAATAGAATGTTCAGCAGCTGATTGTAGACCAATATGTCCAGTGAGGCCAAAGACATGCTGAAAAATGTTTACAGGGAAGTATTGTTTGCTTATTGGGTGAACTGGGGCCCACAGACACCCTTCCTCACAAGAGGGCACTGCCCCAGTCACTAGCCCTGCCCAGCACTTGGCAGACACGCTTCTCACTCATGTCCTCTCAGGAAAATGCTGCTAACGCCCCCAGTGTGCAAACGAGGACCCTGAGGTGCAGAGGATGAAGGGCATGTCTAGGCAGATTAGAGTTGACCAAGACCTGGCTTGTTCAGACACATGAACTGACAACATAACCGTGCCCTAGAGTACTGGGTGGTTGGCACATGGCTCCTTTGTCATGCCTGGGTTCCTCCCCCCAGTGCTGGGATATCACATGATCCTGGGTGTCAATCTCCCCTGGTCAGGTGGTCTTTGGGTCATGACCTCCATGAGAAGTCCCAGTCCTCAGCACAACTTGTCTGTGCCCTGGTCCCTCTGGTCACCTTGTTCTTTGTCCTGCTTCACACCCTGACTCATTGTTTTCCCACCCTGCACTGGACTGAAGCTGCCCTGGAGCTCTGGAAGGTACCCTAAGGGCTTGACAGGACTCTCCACTCAAGAACTGGGCAGCCAGAGGGAATAACACTGGGGCCATTGTCTACCAGCATTCTGGTGCCACCCTCCCCCATGTGACCAGGTTGGAGTCCTGAGGGAGTCCAGAGATTCTGCCCTGTTTCTCCCCACTGCCACCCACCCCAGATCCCAGCTGCCGAATGCCTCCAGATCTTCTTCCTTTTCCACTTGGCTCTCATATTTCTAATACTTCACTTCTGACAAGAACCCCACCTTCAGGAAGCCCTTCTGAATCCCTCCAGGCTGATTCCCACCAAGGTGGGTGGTCACAGGATGGATCCATAGAGCCTAGACCTAGCACAACCAGGTTTGGAGTAGGAGTCTGGCCTAGGGCAGGCTACCACACCTCTCTGGCTCATGATTTTCCTGCCTGTCATGCGGAATATCTAAACCCTCATGGAAGAAGTCCTGTTAAACATGAAGCTGCTGTGAGAGTGGTCCAGCTCAGGGTTTACAGGCTGCCAAGAGGAGAAAGCCCCCAGCAGAGAGACTGGACGAGGTGTTACTACCACACTATCCCAAGGTGGTCCCTAGGACCGTAGACCCCCAGGATGCACTTGGACTCCCAGGCCACTTGAGGTAGTCCCTCAGCACCATTCAGGCTGAGGGGCCAGACTGGTCCCCAATGGGGACCTCATCCCTGCAGGCCAGTGATGCTGGTCCCTCATCCTGATGCTGGATAAGTGCTCAGCAGGCCTCCAAGCATCACCTTTCTTCCCAGAGCTGGTGGCAGGGAGGGACCTGTTAACAGGAGGGGACTGGAGCAGGGAAGACAGTGACTGCTCTCATGGCCACAGTCATT